GTCAGGGTTGGGGGACTTGCCATCTACAACAACGAAAAAACTGAATGCTACACCCGCTCAATAACAACCCCTTTTTGGAAAACCCTCCTCTTGTTCGCAATACCCTTCACTCTGAACCCTAATCTGTTCTTAAGGTCCGCATGCAGTACAAGCTTTAGGGCTTCGCAGGCTTCACGGCCAGGGTGTAGTACCCGGAAGCGCGAGAAGGGAACGGAACGAAGCTTACGGCGCACAAAGAAGCCACAACATTCCGAAACCCAGGCCCTGCCCTCGCATAGGGCACCCTAAGCCTTACGCCCCGACGCGAAGCCCCATAAAAACCTGCAAAACCCCATGGAAGGAAAGTCATGGAAAAACCCGACCCTAAACCCTAAACCCTAAACCCTAAACCCTACCCATCTTCACGGACTGGCACCCAGTGCCTCAAAGCCATCTGCCCACTCTGCGCAGCTCCTGGCCGGCAGCCCACCTGCCAGAACCAAAAAGAGGCAGCGGCAGTACTTGGAGGATCATGGGACTTAGTTACCCTAGTTATAACCCTAGTTACGAAGTCCCATGATCCTTCAAGTAGTTGTAGCAACTGCCACCGCAGTAGTTGTTGTCGTGGTAGTGGTAACAGTGGCGGCAGCAGCAGCAATAAGCATTACAAACTTTACTACGCATATAATAATAATAATAATGATAACAATAATAATAGTAGGAAGAGGGAATAGCGGTAACGGCAGTGGTAGTAGCAGTAGGAGCAGCAGCAGAAGCAGCAGCAGCAGCAGCAGGAGCAGGAGCCGGAGCAGTAGGAGCAGGAGCAGGAGGAGGAGTAGAAGTACGAGTAGCAGTAGCAGTAGCAGCAGCAGTAGCTGTAGCAGTAGCAATAGCAGTAGGAGTAGGAGTAGGCGTAGGAGTAGCCGTAGGAGTACTAGTAGTCGTCGTCGTGGTGGTGGTGGTAGTAGTATAAATAAGAATAGAAGTATCAGTGGCGGTACCAGCACCATCATGTCACGAACACAATGCGATCATCCTCGCCATTGACTTTATCACCATCTTCTTCTCATCCTTTCTCATCATCGTCGTCGTCGCCATCATCCCCACCATCTTCTTCTTGATCTCCCTCTTCAGAACCACAAGAGAGAATATAGGGGCCTTCATAATTAGAATAGGGTCTTGGGGCCCATTATACTGTATGTATGATAAGAACCCCAAAGAATAGTATAGGTGATTATTTAAGCCCCGATATTCCTTTCCGAAACCCGAAACCCTTCATCTGGGGGGCTCCTATATTGTAGTACCCTTATAGATCCCTTATAGCAACCCTTATAGAGCCCTTTAAAGGAACCCTATTCTAATTATGGCGGCTCTTATATTATAGTACAATTATAGATATATTACAGTAACCCTTATAGAGCCCTTTAAGGGAACTTTATTCTAATTCTGGCGGCTCCTCTAGTATTCTCGCAACACCTGGCCCTACCCGACCACAAACCCTGCCCTACCCCACCACAAACCCTACCCTACCCTACCCTATACCCTTCCCTACCCTTCCCAACCCAACCCTACCCTACCCCGCCTTCCGGCTGCAGGACGGCGGCCACTGCGGCGCGGAGTTCAGAGGAGTCCTCTGGCTCCCTCTAATGATAAATAGATTAGGGTTTAGGGTTTACGGTTTAGGGGTATATTATAGTATATCAATAAGAAGGAACCCTCAGAATAGTTTTTGTATTTATTCAGGCTTCTATAGTAGGGTTACGTGGGGCTTGTGTCTTTAGGGGTCTCTGTGACTTATATGTGCATTCTCACGAAGACCCTAAAAGCTTCACCAATCAGTGGTTTTGGTGGTTCCCTCGGCTCTTTAGCTCTTTATTCAATAGGGATTATCATCATCCCTGGCTCCTTAGCTCCCCCAATATCAATGGTTAGTTCAAAGACTTGGACCTTAAGAAAGCCAAAACGCGGGAGGGGATAGGCTGAAGAAGCTGAGCCCTAAACCCTGTGTGTGTCGCTGAGCAGCTAGGACCAAGCCGTCGAAATCGTTTGGCCACGCCGTAAAGCCCGCATTGTACAACCTTGGAGGTTCATGCCGTATTCTCAGGGCTCGTTTGGGCTTTCCAGAGTACAGGGGTCTGGGATTGCACTTTAGAAATCTTTGAGGCGGAGGCTTTAGGGAATGGGGGTTACTTGGAAGCTCATGGGACTTAGTAAATAAGGTTATAAGTACCTTAATTGGGGTTATAAGTATAGTTATCCTAATTATAACCCTAGTTACTAAGTCCCATGATCCTTTAAGTAAGGTCTTGGGGTTGGGCTCTGGGGTCCGAGACGTAGGGCGGTTTCTCCTGAACCTCTGCCTGCCTCGTCCCTAAAGCTCTAGCGATGCGAACAGCATCCTCGAATCTCTAGAAACAATCGTTATACCTGCAAAAACTTCGCAAACCAAGACCCTAAGCTTCGATCATTAAGCCCGGACCCTCAACCGAAAACTTGATAAACAAAGTTTTACACACCTAGCAACAGAACCAAAGAAAACGTACAAAGACTCTCTATCTGAACTCTCAACGCCTGCAGGTGGGGCACAGCTCTGCGTTTGAGAAGTGGCCGTAGCAGATCAACAGCTCCTCCCCTTGCGTAGGTTTTGATTTGGGAGTTTCCGAAGATAAGGACCCTAATATAGCACCCTAAATAGTAGGATCCTCATTATCAGGACCCCAAAACAAGGTACCCCTAATTTTCGGAAACTCCAATTTGGCTTTCGTTCAGCTTTGAGGCTTAGGGTGTAGAGTGGGGGGGATCGAAGTGTAGGCTCTAAGGTTTAGGGTTTAAGGTCGCAAGATTTAAAGTGTGGGGTAAGGGTGTATACATGTTCTCGTATCAGGCTTTAACGTGCCCGTACGCAGAAGTGTCACAAATTGGCTATGGGGTTCCCTGTAAGCTTGGTGAAGTGCCTGAGCTTGGGGTTTAGCGTTGGCTTTGCAATTAGAGCTACTGCAGACCATGCTCTTTCCTCTCTTCTCTACTGCATACCTTAGTTTAGGGCTTAGGATTCAGGGTTTAGGATTTAGGGTTTAGGGTTTAGGATTCAGGGTTGAGGGCTCTACCAGGATTCTGAAGGGCTTCAAGGTTTCACGCATCAGGGTTCAGGTGTCAGACCACACCCTAAACCCTAAAGCTTACGGTTTAGGTTTTAGGGTTTACGGTGTAGGGTTTACGGTTTAGGGTTTACGGTTTAGGGTGTAGGGTTTAGGGTTTGGGGTTGAAAACCTGCAGAGTTTGGGGGCTACGGTGCCATGAAGTCTTCGACACTCCACCCTGTAAGCCTGTAAGCGGACAGCAGGTCAAGCATGCTGAGTTCTCAGAACGTTGCTGTGAAACCTATCGTTGAGGGAAAGCTTCGATTGCGCTCTAAACGCGTTTGTGCAAGGAGAAGCTTCAGAGGGCTTTTTGAGGTTTACATGGTGGAAGGTCACTTACAAGTACAGCAATTTCACTTAAGGTCCTTTTCGGCCTCCACACTTTGCCTAGAACCTAGTCCACGGATCTTTCAAGAATGCTAGGCTGAAGGTATTAAGAACAAGCCAATCATGGAATTCATTCGAAATCAAGACCCCAAACTCTGCATTTCCAGCGCGAGTGTACTACGCAAAAGGATCCTCAGTAGCCGTATGGGGAAAGTGAAACACACCTTAATCGTGATCGCTGATAGAGAACTAATACTCTGCACCATGGAAGTACCTGCTAAGCACCTTGCCTAGTGCAAAACGGTTATCTATAAGCGAATTACGGCTGATGGACAAAATCCTGCATTGCCCAGTATAAGGAATATACCATAGTTCCCATAGTTTAGAGTCCTTAAGGTCATGCAGGATTTTGTCCATCAACAGTATGTACTGCTCAACCCCAGTTGGGCCCCAAACACTCTCGGATCCGCTGCCTGCATCAATGTCGCAGGTTGTTACCTTTGTGCTCAAGAATCGCACAAACTGGCGTCGGGCCTGTACCCAAAAGTCCCGAAACCCGAAAAAACTAAAAAAACTGCCCCAACCCCATGCCCACACGCTAAAACTCCGAAACCTCAAAGCCTTGCCTCTGAACCCCAAGGACCAGCTCCCCGACGAACTCAACCCAAAACCCGCTAACATACCGTGACCTCCGAGCTCCTACTTAAAGGATCATGGGACTTAGTAACTAGGATTATAATTAGGGTAACTATACTTATAACTTTAATTAAGGTACTTATAACCTTACTTATTAAGTCCCATGATCCTCCAAGTACCGTGACCTCCGAGCTCCTAACTGCCCTGACTCCGAAGCCCGGCTTGGGGATGTGGGTCTGCGACTCAGGGCAGGGCGGTTTAAGGTGTGGGTGTTAAGGTTTGGGGTCTAGGAGTCTTTTTTTTCCTTTAAGTTAGGGTCTAGGAGTCTTTTTTTTTAAGTTAGGGTCTAGGAGTCTAGGGGGTTAGGGTTTAGGGCGTTAGGGTTTGGGGGTTGGGGGTGGCGTAAGGTTTTAGGGTTCGGGGTTGTGGTTTTGCTCACAAGGCCGTCGCAACCCAAAACTCGCCATGGCTGCCTGTTCTGTTAAGGACAGTGATGAAAATCGTGTTAATAGTCACCTCAGTGAAAGATGAATACACTCACTAGTAGCTGCCAAACACTAACACGAGCAGTTGCACCATCACCACCACCACCACCACCAGCACCACCGCTATCACCACCACGACCACCACAACAACCGTAACGAAGACTATTACGGCTGAGTCGACGACGACTACTCCTTCTTCCCCTGCTACTACTACTGCTACATCAGCTCCTGCTCCTGCTACTGCCACTGCCACTGCCACCGCTGCTACACTACTGTCGGTCGTTGCTGCTACTGTCGCTGCTACAGTAAGTCTCATATGGGTGGTTGTCAAAATCTGTCCCGCTTTAGGCCCCTATTATAAATGATGCTCTTGCTACCCTGTTGGTAGTGCTGAAGAGCCACAACTTCGATGTGCTGCTCGTACTGGACCACTTCACAGTTGGCGTTCCTGAAATTGCGATTTAGGGTTTAGGGTTTAGGAATTAGGGTTTAGGGTTTAGGAATTAGGGTTTAGGGTTTAGGAATTAGGGTTTAGGGTTTAGGGTTTAGGGTTTAGGTCAGGGAAGATATTGCAGCAGTCGGATCGAAGCGCGCTTCGAACAGCGCAGGTGGGGTTTGCTACCCTAAACCCTAAACCCAACCCCTGTTTCTAAGGGTCCCAAAACAGGGTATAGGATCCTTAAGGGAGGGTGGTTCAAGGAGGGCATAAGGAATCCTTAGGGGACTGTAAGGGAACCTTAGGGAGTACTCGGGAGAATTAGGGATCACTAGGCTATATACCCCCCTTGGACCCCCCTCCCTTGAGGATACTACAAACGGCCCCAGTTCAGCGAACTACCCGAGACTTTCTGCCGTTTATAAGGGTCCTGGAGTAGGACCGGGGTTCGTATCCCGACAGTCCACATCCTGGGTTTAGGGGGTTTGGGGTTTAGGGGTTTAGGGGTTTAGGGTTGAGGGTTTAAGGCTTCTGAAACCCCTGAGGCTGGGTTTGTTACAGCCTTAACCCTCAAAATCGAAACCCTGAACCCCGAACCTTGCATTGGGCCCTAACCATGAACACTAAACCTAAACCCCTAGACCCGAAGGGGCTGATCCGTGCACCCTCCCAAATCAAAAAAAGGGACTGGATCATGCTAGCCATGGCTCGGTGCTCAAATGATTCAGAAAACGGCTTGGGGCCGGACAGGCTTTGCATTAATGGGTATCCCTAGAAGTAAGGCCGGAGATACATTCCCTAGGCATCCCTGCCATAGAAAAACAGAGCTGGGAAACTTTTCACTAGGTGTGACAAACTTTGTATGATAGGGCCCCCACATACATGTTCGGATTACATTCAACCCTGAACCCCAAAAAGTTGAGCTGTTTACTCCTACAGTAGTCGTTGCAGCACCAGCAGCAGTAGTCGTAGTAGTAGTAGTAGTAGTAGTAGTAGTAGTAGTAGTAGTAGTAGTAGTAGTAGTAGTACTGGTAGTAGTAATAGTAGTAGTAGTAGTAGTAGTAGTAGTAGTAGTAGTAGTAGTAGTAGTAGCAGTAGTAGTAGTAGTAGTAGTAGTAGTAGTAGTAGTAGTGGAAGCAGAAGGAGTGGCAGTAGTAGCAGTAAGTGCCCCGCCCGGGCCCGAACCCGAACCGCCACCGGCCGAGGTTCCGGGGATCGGAGGTTCCGAGCTCGTGGCCGCAGTCGGAGGGGGGGGGGGGGGGGGGGGGGGGGGGGGTTAGGGTTCGGGTTGGGGTTCGGCGCGGCGGTTGTTTTTCTATTGTGGGGGGGAGGGTTCGGGTTTCTGCGCACACGACGACTTAGACGAGCGGAGGGGGGGTTGGGGTTTAGGTTCGGGCTCGGGTGCACTGCTTTTTTTGGTGGGGGAGGGGGAAGGGAGTTGGGGTTGGGGTTTAGGTTCGGGTTCTCGAGTCTCGTCGCAGGCGGGGCCCAGCTCAGGGGTCGAGGTTCGGGGTTCGGAGGTTCCGAGCTCGTGGCCGCAGTCGGGAAGGAGGGGGGCTTAGGGTTCGGGTTCGGAGTTCGCGGTGGTTGTCAGTCTTTCGTTGCGGGGGGGGGGGGGGTGTTCGGGTTCGGTTCGGGTTCATGGGTTCACGGACGGATGTTGAGCTGGAGGTGCAGGTTCGGCTTGCCTGTTGCTTGTTTTTGGTGGGGGAGGGCGGCGGGCGTTCCGGTTCAGGTTCGGTTCAGAGTTCGCAGACACTCTGACGGAGGGGTTCAGGTTCAGGTTCGAGTTGAGTTGGTTGCATTTTTCCGAAAGGGGGGGGGGTGCGTTGGGGGTTCGGGTTCGGGTTCAAGGTTCACGGGTGCAGGTTCGGCTTGCCTATAATTTTTTTTTGGGCGGGGGGGGGGGGGGGTTCCGGATCAGGTTCGGGTTCAGGTTTGGGCTACATTGTTTTATCGAGGGAAGGGGGGGGTTCGGGTTATGGGGGGTTCAGGGTGAGGTTTGTTACATGTTTGGGAGGTGGGAGGTTCGGGTTAGGGTTCAAGGTTCACAGATGGTGGGGGACGGGGGGGCGGGTTCCGGTTCAGGTTTGGGTTCGGGTTCAGGGTTCAGACACGGTTCAGGTTCGAGTTGGTTTCGGGTTCGGCTTGCGTGTTGTTTGTTTTTTGGTGGGCGGGGGAGGGGGGAGTTGCGGTTCAGGTTCGGGTGGGGCTCGTTATGAGTAGCAGTGGAAGTAGTCGTAGTAGTAGTGGCCCCACACCCTATGTCCTTGAATCCGGGGCTCGTGGGTGAATGGTTGAAGCAGTCCGCCAAGGGGATCAAGATAGTCCCTCCTCGTCTTTCATACACTTTAGGATTCAGGATTTTGGACTCACACACTAAACCTGAACCCTAAACCCTGAACCCAAGCCCCTAAACCCTAAACCCCACCATTATAGGGTTTTAGGGTTCAACTTTTAGGTTTCAGGGTTAAGAGTTTCATTGGTCCGGGATTCGGTTTCTGGGGATCCTTACTGCTTGCAAGGCTGTACGACCACCGACACTACCACTAAGACACGACGAGAACCACAAGTCCCCCAGCCACCACCACAGCCACAATAACAACTACTACTACCACTACCACCACCGCCACCACCACTACTTTTGCACTTTGCACTTTGCGTCGCAGCAGCGAGATCCGCAGCTAAGCGTCCGGCCGACCAAATCGATTTCTCGATTCGGCTGCTCCACACCAGGTTGGTGATAGCAGCTATGCATAGCACAGTCGAAACTAGACATAACTCGTGAAAAGGCGGAGCCTCGTGTCGAAACACCAAGCAGGCCCCGCACCGACTCGTTCTTTCAATTGAAGAACTTTCGTAACAAAAACGTGGAACTTTAAGCAATCCTTCTGAGCCCGACTAGATAGCCACAACTATCAACATCAGAACTGCTGGCGCCAATCTCCTGTAAGGATGTGTTGTCTTCTGTGACATGGTAGGCACAGCGATTGCCATCCAAACCAGAGGCAGCACTCAGAGCAGCTCGATAATGTCCTGTCAGCATTCTGTCACCGAGGTGATAGACAACGCCAACAACCTCATATTGAACTGTGTGGATCTCCGTGTCAAAGCTGTTGTTGAAAGTCGGAATTCGAACAATGGTGCCAACCGGAATCCTCACTGCTGTGAAGTCTTTGAGCGGTGGATTCCCGAAAACGTTTAAGTTGTAAAAACAGCAACACTGGAGCCCGCGACAAGGCCTGTATGCTGTGCTGTGCGTGCCAGTCGTGAACACAATGCTGCAAACTCGGTCCTGCCACTTCAATCGATATCGGAATGAGGCAGTTGCCTGAGTCAACGACAAGTTCAGAGCCCTCCTCCTGGAGGCGTGATTCCCAACCACCACTAAAAGCTTCGGGCTCAGACTTGCCAAGGACAAAAGAAATGAATTCAACGGCATCATGCTGTTGATGAAGCGCCTCCCATCCTGTCAACAGCCGGAGCCATGGAAGAAAAGAAGGAAGATAAATGGTGCCGCTGCCTTGTAGACACCGCATTGCCCGCTCAATCCTGCCAAAAGCTGCTCTGCTGTTCGTATTCTGCCCCATATGAAACAGAAGTAAGCAACAGGCATTCATGTAGCAGACATTGGACCGGTTGGCTAACTTGTAAGAGAACCGCGGCCAAAGCTTTAGTGGTGCTCCTCCTTCTCCCGCTGCTGCTGATCCGCTGCCTCGGCCTCCCGATTCTGGGATCCTGCTGCTCGGCTTGCCGAGAAGGGAGGGGGGAATCTCTCCGCAACGATCTTGGCGAGAGGTTGCCGATCCATCTTTGCCGGCTTCATTTTGAGTCCTATGACCTTTCCAGAGCCGTTGCCGCAAAGGTTGGTGAGCATCCCCCATGCCTGAGCTGCCATTGTATCCCTCTGGCCGACCGTCAGAAGAAACGTGACTGTCTCCCCCGCGTACTCCGCCGCCATCCGCCTCGTGGAGTGAAAACGAAGCAAGACATTCGGAGCCTCCATCGTCGCCTGCAGCTGAATCAAGCTGGTCACCACTTGACTCTGCAGCATAGGCTCCACATCCGGAACCTTCTCCCTGTGTGGAGTGATTCCACCTCATGTAGAACCACTGCAGCTCCGTAGTTCCCTCCGGCATTTGTGCATAGCCCTGTTCCATGATGCGTTTCCGCAACGCCTCGGCCTCCTGACTGGTCTGTTCCAAAGCCCGCATCCTCTCCAGCCAGACCTGCAGCAGCCCAAGGAATAAGCAGATCCTTAGCGAGCAGTTCACTTCCTGCCGCTCTTTCCGCTCCTTCCAGACCGTCGCCAGCTTGTAGAGCTTGTTGAGGACCGCCGCCTCCTGAGTCTCCATCGTAAGAATGAAGTCTCGCTCCACTCTCGTCTGAGACAGCTCGTCCTCGTGGCGGAGGCAAAGCCGGGCCAATAGCCTCAGATTGTCTTCCCAAGCCTGCTCCTCCTTCTGCTTCCGCTGCCCGCCCCACGTGTAGGAGCTCCAGCCGCGACGCTGGCCCTGGTTGTTTTTCCAACCCTGCTGTGGCCGCCCCTGCTGCTTCGTCGGCTGCCCTTGGTGCCGTGTCTCCGTGGTTTTTGGCTGCTGCTGTCCTCGGTCTCCAAAAGCTGCTGCCGCTGCCACCAGCGGGTCCACTGGCTGATCTGGGGCCACGTTCTGCGCAGCTGTGCCAGGACTGGAGGGTGCCGCCGCTTCCTGAGCGGTTCCCCGTCCTCCCTTTCCCTGCCCTCCTTGGCCTTTCGACTGTGGCCGAGAGTGCTTCGGCTGTGGCTCCCCATCCTGCTCCTCCCGAGTTGCGGTCACTATCGGGGCCTCTCGCTTCCCGAGCGATGCATCCACCTCCATCTCCGGAATGTGCTGAAAGCACTCCACCATCTCCTGGAGCGGGGATCGTCCTGCCATTCTCGAAAGAGGACGTCAACAGACTCTGCACCGTGGCCTGTGGGCAACTGTCGGCTCTCAGGTAGGCCAAATGCTGCAGGACCGTGCATTGATGCTTGGTGGTCCTCGCAAACTCTGCACCACACGCCGTACAAGGACTCGAGCGAACTAAGGCAACCGTGCGACACTCAGATTTGACCTCATTTCTTCGCGAGTAGATGCCAGGATGTGCAGATCTGAGGTGATTCTCAAAGGAGCCGCTCTTGCTTGAGAACCACTTCCCACAAAAGGCACAATAGTTTCGCAAGGTCTCCCTAACCCCTGCAAGTTCAAGCGCTTCATACCACCTGGGACCTGGGTTTCCGGAGCACACCACCACTACTACTACTACTACTACTACTACTACTACTACTACTACTACTACTACTACTACTACTACTACTACTACTGTGGACACCGTACTGCTACTAGTACTACGACTACTACTGCTACTACTACTACTACTACCACCACAACTACTACTCCTGCTGCTGCTGCTGCTACTGATACCATTACTACAACTACACGACGACGATGACGGCGCTGCTTACACCGCTACCCCACCACTTCACTGGTCGCAGTCCTCCTTGAGCTGCGTGTGCACGCGACTGAACCTTTCGGCTGGCAAAGCAAGCTTAGGGTTTCGGGTTCAGGGATGCTTGGGTTCAGGTCGGACATGGGCAGGCTCGAAAGGATTCTTGGGGCTTAGATTCTCGAGGTCAAACTTGGAGGGTCAAACGGCTGTACACGATGAGGTTGAGTATTAGTGCTGCGCACGTCATTGCCCGGCTTGAAGAAAAGCAAGCAAACATGATGAGCATCAGCTGGGTGCATTGTCGGTGCTAGGAGTTTGATATCAAGCGAACATCATCAGCAACAGCTGGGCCAGTGTATTGTCTGCAATGCGGGTCTGAAGGACCTCAAGCAAGCATCATGCGCATCAGCTGAGCCAATGTGGTGTCTGCATTGCGGGCGGGACAGAAGTCCTGGGCCAGTACGTTGTCTGACCACATCATCAGCATCAGCTTGGCCGGTACCTTGTATCTATTGGGAATCTGACAAAAATGAAGCAAGCATCATCAACATCAGCTGAGCCAGTGTGCTGTCCGTGCTGCAGGTCTGGAAACTGTCAACTGAGCCTATGTGATGTCTGCGTTGCGTGCTTGAAAAACGTCAGCAAGCATCATCAGCATCGGCTGGGCCAGGGCGTTATCTGCGCTGCGAGTCTGACCACAACACGCAAACATCATCAGCATCAGCTTGGCCAGTACCTTGAACCTTGTCTGTGTTGGAAATCACAAACATCAAGCAAGCATCATCAGCATCAGCTGGTCGTCTGTGTTGCAGGTTTGGAAACCCTCCAGCCAGCATCATCAGCATCAGCTGAGCTAATGTGGTATTTGCGTCGCAAGCCTGAAAGAAGTCAGCAAGCATCATCAGCGTCAGCTGCGCCAGTGCGTTGTCTGCGCTACGAGTATGAACACAACAGACCAACATCATCAGCATCAGCCTGGCCAGTACCTTGTCTCTGCTGGGAATTTGACAAACATGAAGCATGCATCATCAGCATCAGCTGGGCCAGTGCGTCGCCTGTGCTAGCAGTCATCATCAGCAGCTGAGCCAGTGTGTTGTTTGTGCTGCGGGTCTGAAAGCAGGCATCAGGAGGTGGTGTCTGCACTTCAGCAAGCATCAGCAGTATCAGTGGGCCAGTGGGCTGTCTGCATTGCAACAAGCGAACATCATCGGCATCAGCTTGGCCAGTACCTTGTCTGTGTTGGGAATCCTCACAAACCTCAAGCATAGATAGTCAGCATCAGCTGGGCCGTTGTGTTGTCTGTGTTGCAGCTCTGGGAACTCTCAAGCAAGCATCAAGACCATCAGCTGATCTACTCTCGTATTTGTGTTGCAGGCTTGCAGGAAGTCAGCGAGCATCATCGACATCAGCTGGTCCAGTGCGTTGTCTGCGCTACGAGTCTGACCACAACAAGCAAACATCATCAGCATCAGCTTGGCCAGTACCTTGAACCTTGTCTGTGTTGGAAATCACAAACATCAAGCAAGCATCATCAGCATCAGCTGGTCGTCTGTGTTGCAGGTTTGGAAACCCTCCAGCCAGCATCATGAGCATCAGCTGAGCTAATGTGGTGTTTGCGTCGCAAGCTTGAAAGAAGTCAGCAAGCATCATCAGCGTCAGCTGCGCCAGTGCGTTGTCTGCGCTACGAGTATGAACACAACAGACCAACATCATCAGCATCAGCCTGGCCAGTACCTTGTCTCTGCTGGGAATTTGACAAACATGAAGCATGCATCATCAGCATCAGCTGGGCCAGTGCATCGCCTGTGCTAGCAGTCATCATCAGCAGCTGAGCCAGTGTGTTGTTTGTGCTGCGGGTCTGAAAGCAGGCATCAGGAGGTGGTGTCTGCACTTCAGCAAGCATCAGCAGTATCAGTGGGCCAGTGGGCTGTCTGCATTGCAACAAGCGAACATCATCGGCATCAGCTTGGCCAGTACCTTGTCTGTGTTGGGAATCCTCACAAACCTCAAGCATAGATAGTCAGCATCAGCTGGGCCGTTGTGTTGTCTGTGTTGCAGCTCTGGGAACTCTCAAGCAAGCATCAAGACCATCAGCTGATCTACTCTCGTACATGTGTTGCAGGCTTGCAGGAAGTCAGCGAGCATCATCGACATCAGCTGGTCCAGTGCGTTGTCTGCGCTACGAGTCTGACCACAACAAGCAAACATCATCAGCATCAGCTTGGCCAGTACCGTGTCTGCGCTAGCAGTCTGACAAGCATCATCAGCATCAGCTGAGCCAGTGTGTTGTCTCAATTGTGGGTCTGAAAAACCTAACACAAGCATCATGAGTGTCAACTGAGCCTATGTGATGTCTGCGTTGCGTGCTTGAAAAACGTCAGCAAGCATCATCAGCATCAGCTGCGCCAGTGCATTGTCTGCCCTTGAAGCAAGCATCATCAGCATCAGCTGGGCCAGGGCGTTATCTGCGCTGCGAGTCTGACCACAACACGCAAACATCATCAGCATCAGCTTGGCCAGTACCTTGAACCTTGTCTGTGTTGGAAATCACAAACATCAAGCAAGCATCATCAGCATCAGCTGGTCGTCTGTGTTGCAGGTTTGGAAACCCTCCAGCCAGCATCATGAGCATCAGCTGAGCCAATGTGGTATTTTGCGTCGCAGGCTTAAAGGAAGTCAGCCAGCGTCGTCAGCATCAGCTGGCTCAGTGCGTTGTCTGTGCTACCAGTCTGACCACAACAAGCAAACATCATCAGCATCAGCTTGGCTAGCACCTTGTATTTGTTCGAAATCTGGCAAACATGAAGCAAGCATCATCCGCATCAGCTGGGTCCACGTCATCTGTGTTCCGAGCTTGAAAAATCAAGCAAGCATCATTACCACAAGGTTAACCAGCGCATTGGCTGGCGTCGGGTGATCAAACCTCAAAGCTGAACAAGCCCTAGAAAACCCTACAGTAAAAGCCCAAAAGTTGGAAACCCCATAGCCTCAATCCTTAGGAGTACTGTATAGGTAGTCCCAGCACTACTTGTCCTTAATCAGGTTTCCAACTTTTTGGGGTTTACTATAAACCCCAATCCCGAACCCTACTTGGAGGATACGGGACTTAGTAAGTAAGGTTACAAGTACCTTAATTGGGGTTATAAGTATAGTTACCCCAATTATAACCCTAGTTACTAAGTCCCATGATCCTTTAAGTAGAAAACCCTAAACCCTAAACCCCAATCCCGAACCGTGCTCCTGCTAAACTTCGGCCGAAGATTCTTCCAGGAGCTACTTCCTCCCTGCTGAGCACCAGAAGAAACTACAATCCAAGGGTAAAAGGAGGGACCCTTAATTTAGGGCTCTTAGGTGTTCCTTTAAAGGGATCTATAAGGGTTTAGGGTTTAGGGTTGATTAATTGGTAAAAGGAGGAACCCTTAATAAGGACCCCTAGGTATATACCCTGAATAGCACTATTATATACCCATTATATAGCCCATTATAGGGTAGGGGTCCCCATTAAGGGTCCCCCCTTTTCCCCTTTGATACAAGGTTTGGAAATGATTGGCCCCAGACCCCCCTGTGGAAAGATTTAATTGTGGCGAACCCTCATAAATCCTGAAGCATAATACCCACCAAGAAGTAAATAATAAGAGTAACAAAGCCCTTGCTGCTCAAGGGCATTCGCCGCGGCCCAGCGAAGTTGGGCCTGCCCCGATACTTTCGGTTTTGCAGACTAGCACTGGCTTCTTGGCTTTTTGAAACTTTCACGGGAATGATATCTGAGATTGTTTCGATCAGAATGCATCTTCGAAAACATTGCTTGTTAGAGGGCTACAGGGTTCAGGCTTGCCATTAACCTCACGACGGTAAAACCTGTCTAACGCCGTCACACCCAGGTGCAGTGCAGAACAAGCATCCACGGGCTCCAACTCAAAGAGGAGGGACTTAGGAGGGCAACGGCAATTAAAACCTTGATTCATCGGGATTGACGCACTTTCAACCCGACTCACTGCAAGTGCCGCGATCATTCAAGTACGGAATACCCCTCAAAACCCGGGCCATAAGCCCCTCATGACATGATACAGTCGGGTTTTGCTGCAACATGCAGGGACTGTTCTTTCGGGTTCAGGGTTCGAAAAGGGTTTAGGACAACCTGTGAAGGCTTCAAAATCCACCCCCAACATGGAACTCCCAGGAAAGGCCGTCGGCATACCCTGGAAAACTTTTTGAAACGAGCCCTACAGATCCCTGTAGAACCCCCCAGGAGCCTGTAAAGCCCCCAAAAACCCAAACCCCTCAACCCTAAAGCCTAAACCCCAAAACCCTGAACCCTAAACCCCAAAACCCCAAAGCCTAAACCCCTCAACCCCTAATCCCTAGAGCCTCAACCCTAACCCAAACAAACCCAAGCAACCCAGAGAGCCCAATACCCCTTAATTCAGCAATATACCTTGGATCATAAGGGGCTTCATATTATGACTTAAGCTATACTCCAACCCTAAACCCTAAACCCTAAAGCCTGAACCCTAAACCCTAAACCCTAAACCCTAAACCCTAAACCTAAGGGGTATGGGGCTCTCTGGGAAGCCAAGGCCTCGGGGGGCTCCTGCGGCCAGAAGGGCCGGGTCGACGCCACAAGCCTGCCAAGGAGGGTTTAGGTTTTAGGGTTTAGGGTTTAGGGTTTAGGGTTTAGGGTGTAGGGTTTAGGGTTTTGGGTGTAGGGTTTAGGGTTTTAGGGTTTAGGGTTTAGGGTTTTCTTTAAAGTGCAATGGCTCTTTCTGCTCCGCATGAGAGTATGCCAAGGAGGTCTAGGGTGTTTAGGGTTTCAGGGTTTGGGGTTTAGGGGTGTAGGGGTGTAGGGTGTTAGGGTTTAGGGTTTAGGGTTTAGAGGTTTAGGATTTAGGAGCTTAGGGTATAGGGTCGACGGGTTTAGGGGCTTAGGGTTTGGGGTGTAGGGTTTGGGGTGTAGGGTTTAGGGTTTAGTAGCTAAGCTCAAAGCCCCAAAAAACCCTGAACTGAACCCTTCGAAAAGGTTGAGGGACTAGGGTTTTATGAAGGTTTTGTAAACATATAGAAGTGAAATAGGGTGTGGGGATACAGCATCATACGAAAAAATAAAAAAAGAGGGCGACTACGACTACACGCTCGGATACAAGCCCCGATGGGGCCCCTTTTTAAAAGGCTGAGCACTTACCCGAAAACCCTGAACCCTAAACCCAAAACCGCAAAATACTCGAAGTTTAAGACTTCGTCAGCAGGGGGTGGGTTTCGGTTTAGGGTTTGCAGGGATCAGGCCAGGGCTGCAATCCATAGGAAAGGACACCCGGGAACGATGCGAAAAACGGGGGCACTTCGAAACCTCCCGCAACAATCTAAGTCAAATGCTGCACATGTTTGAAGGAATTATGATAGGAAGTGCCATTTTTTTAGCTGTTGGGCTGTGGGCTTTCTGCTTTGAGACTTTCTGAAAGTGGCAGGGGTTCAGTGGTTGGAGTTTTGCTCCTGAGCATCAGACAGGAATGAAGGCGCTGAGTGCTGTTTTAGGGTTTTGGTTTTAGGGTTCAGGCAGCCATAAACCCTTAACCCTACAGATCCGTTTAAAGCAACCCTATCGATCCCTTAAAGGAACCCGAAGCCCTGGGGTTTAGGGTTCAAGGTTTCCAAGCCCTCGAGGGTCTGAGGGTTGAGGTTTTACCAAATCCGCTCAACCTTGTCACCGTGCTGTACAACCCTATTCCAATTACTAAGGCCCCTTTGCTATAGAACCCCACTATAGATCCCTTATAAGCCCGACCCGTTTACAAGCACCCTATTCCAATTATTAAGGCCTGTATCCTCCTAAACCCTAAGCCCAGGAGGATCCGAAGACTAAATGTTTCTGACCTTCATCCGGCCAACCCAGATCTTGGGTCCAAAGTCCTGAAAAAAACACCCTGAAAGTCCTTGCAACCCTTTACCTTTGAGCCGTTGTACAACTCCCGGAAAAACCAAAATCGTTCCCCCACTATGCCCTATGACAACCTGCTAGAGATTTCGCCCTTAACCCAACTAGCCCTATCCCCAAAATTCCAAACCCCACCCACCCACCCAACCCCCCCTTGCCCCCCTAGACCCTAAACCCTAAACCCCTAAAACCCCCAATACACTGAAACCCTCAACCCCAATGAAAACTAAGACGCTTGAGACGGCCTCTGCATGGCCTGGATCCCTTCCGCACCCGCGAGACCAGCCTGGTAAAAGCTGTAGCAAGACCACCAGGGTCTTCGGGGGCCTCTTGGGACACTTAAAGGATCATGGGACTTAGTAACTAGGGTTACAATTAGGGTAACTATACTTATAACCCCAATTAAGCTACTTATAACCTTACTTACTAAGTCCCGTGATCCACCAAGTAGTTTAGGGTTTACGGTTAAAACAAATTGTTCAGGATTCAGGTCCGGGGTTTTGTGCGAGTCTTGGGCGGGTTCTGTACGGGTTTTGACCGGGTTTTGTGTTTCGCTTTGCCTAAACAATTTGTATTTATCCTGGGCTTGAGGGTTTAGGATTTAAGGTTTAGGGTTTAGGGATAACAGGGGCCTTTCAGGGATCCCGGAATTACATGCTATGTTGCTGTTTCCTGGCAAACTCTTGCAGGGACCTGCTGTTCGGCAAGCTATTTCAGAATTCCACTTGGCAGGGTCCTGTTTGGGGGATTCCTTTGCAGGTCGCGGCGAGGGGCGCGTGTTTAGCTGCCGCGACGAGCATGCATTAGCATCCTTGCTGTCGTGGGAAAGGGTGCGTTTTTACTGTCGTGGCCCGGGAGGGCACTAACGCGCTTGGTTTTCGAGCAAAAATGGTGAGAACAAGATAACAAGACTACGAGGAGCAAGAAGACAAGAGCAATATTAACCATAAACTTGCTGCTCAGTGACAAGAGGCCCCGCACAATCCATCAACCCCAAACCATGCCCCCAAACTCGAATTTCCAATACCCCTACAGCCCTAAAAGCTAAGTCCAATCAAGCCCCAAACCCTCACCCCTCTAGAATCGCAGTAATGACCCTAATACCCTGCCAAACAGAAATTCTAAGCCTTTCTAGAACTGCGAAGGAACTCTGAAAGGAGGAGCCCTTTCAAGCAACCCGAAACTAAACCCTAAACCCTAAACCATAAAACCTAAATCCTAAACCCTAAACCCTATACCCTAAACCCTAACCCCTAAACCCTAAACCCCCCACTCTTCGAAAAAAGCCGCCGCTGTGCCTCAGCGTGGGCCAGGATCTCCAGGGCGGTCCCTCGATAAATCCACGGCCGGTCCTCCGGAGCTTTCGGTTAGGGCTTTAGGGTTTAGGGTTTAGGATTGAGGGTGCAGGGGTTAGGGTTTAGGGCTTAGGGCTTAGGGTTTAGGGGTTAGAACTTTAACCCAGGAGCTACTTGGATGGGCAAGGGACTTGGCAAGTAGGTTACAAGTAGAGTTATAAGTACCCTAAATGGAGTTACCCCAATTACAACCCTACTTATAACCTACTTACTACGTCTAGAGGCCGTTATGAGAGCTTTATAGGGTTTGCGGAGTCGGAAAGCAGGGGCTTCGGGGCTCTGCTAAGGGTTCAAGGCTGAGGGTTTAGGGTTTCGGAAAAACTCGAAGCTCAACCCTAAAACCCGAAACCCTAAACCAGAGAGCCCCCAATACCCCTTAAGGAATAGAGCTTAAATCATAATATGAAGCCCCTTATGATTTAAGGTAAAAGGCTTAATTAAGGGGTAAAACGCTCTCTGGGAAACCCGAAACCAAGGCTTTCAAGGTGTTCTTCAAAGCCACGAGCAGAACCTGAGGGCTGCCCTTGCGCGTCCCCGCTCTTGGGTTTAGGGTTTACTTGGAGGGTCGGGGGACTTAGTAACTGGTTATTTTAAGGACTTATAAGTACCATAACCCCAATTAAGGTCCCTTTTAGGGTACTTATAAGTCTACTTACTACCTACTTACTAAGTCCCCCGACCCTCCAAGTAGGCTTTTAGGGTGTTGTATTTTTGAACCTTCTTTTCCGTCTGCCCGGGGGACATCCGGTTTCTAGGGGTTTCGGGTTGTGGGTTTGGGGTTTCAGGGGCCTTGTTAGTTAAAGTAAGGCTTTGGAGTGGTGTCCAGGCTTCCAATGTCAAGCCCTATAAGGCCATTTAGCGTTTAGGGGTTTAGGGTTTAGGGTTTAGGCGAATAGAAACTGTCACAAAACCCTCTCAAGGCCCCCATATTACCCTAAACCCTAAACCCTTACAGAAACCCTCACAAAACCCTTTAAAGGCCCCCTCATGTTTTCCGAACGCGTCAGGCTCTTCGAAACAAGCCCATCAGCACCGACCTACAGGCCCCCCCATGCTAGCCTAAACCCTGAACCCTTTTAGAAACCCGAAACCCCTAAACCCTAAACCCTAAACCCCTAAACCCTATACCCCAAACCCTAAACCGCCTAAACCCTTATAGAAGCCCTCACCGAACCTTTTAAAGGCCCCTCTCTACGGTGCCACTGTCACGGCCTCCCATCTGAAAGGGTCCAAAAAGCATGCTTTCGGGGCCTTGATAATTAGAATAGGGTTCCTTTAAAAGGGGCCCTGAAAGAGCTACTATGAGGGATCTATACGGGGTACTATAATATAGGGGCCTTAATAATTAGAAGTGGGCCCCTTTAAAGGGCTCTATAAGGGCTACTATAAGGGATCTATAAGGGAACTACAATATAGGGGCCTTAATAATTTATTATTAGAACAGGGTTTGGGGGCCTATTATACTATAAATATAAGAAAGAACCCTCTAAATAGTATAGGCAATTCTTGAGGCCCTATAATACTTACTCGTACTAGTATCTGGTTCTATCAAAGGAGGTTTTAAGGGTTTGGGGTTGAGGGTTTAGGGGTTGAGGGGTTTAGGGTTTAGAGGGGTCGTTTTGTAAGCGTTACTAGAAGGGGCAATATCAGGCCGGAGTATAGGAGCCTTTAGGATCAGAAGGGAGCTTTCGGGACGTAGCACTGTGATCGTTTTGAAGGGCCCGGAGGACAAGTATCACCAATTCTTCAAGCTCGCCAGGCCTGGGTGTGGAGGGTCCTCGACGCAACCCTAAACCGGAGACCCCAAATGGGTAGTTGTCAAAATTTAAGGTCCCTTTTTGGGTACCATAAATAATAGGTGCCGTATTATAAAACAGGGACCCAAAAAGGAACCATAACTTCGACAACCACCCAAATGAACAAATGGGAATTTCCGAAAATAGGGGACAAAAATGTAGTGCCCTAAATAGAAGGATCCTTATTACAAGGACCCCCAAAATAAGGAACCCCCTATATTCGGACACACCCAAATCATGAAACAAGGACCCCTAGGTATATACCCTTACAATAGCCATTATATACCCATTATATAGCCCATTATAGGGTAGGGGTCCCCATTAAGGGTCCCTCCTTTTCCCCTTTGAATGAAAGGAGCGCTCCCCTTTCCCGACCGACCCTCTCCTCGCCAGCCGTGCCGTCATCTACATCGGCCGTAGCGCCCTTTGGGCGAGGTTGGATTGGGCTTCAAGGTTTAGGGTTTAGGGTTTTAGGGTTTAGGATGCTTTTTCAAGGGTTTAGGGTTTAAGGTTTTAGGGTTTAGGGTTTAGGAATTTTTTTAAGGGTTTAGGGTTTGGGTTTAGCTTTACCGGACGATCAGCGTGCTGGACTGGCTGCCGCGGACTTGGTAGACTGCAAGGAGGCGATCCTCCGGTTGAGAGGAGATGGGGAGTTCTTGGGATTAGGGCTTAGGGATTAAGGCTTAGGGCTTAGGGTTTAGGGTTTAGGATTAGGGCTTAAGGATTAGGGTCTCGCCGCGCAGTGGCAGTATGTTCCGTGTCGGACGGCGCCCCAAGACTCCCAGAAGGGGTCCTTGCACCCTACTTGGAGGGTCGGGACTTAGTATGTAGGGGGCTCCTTTAAAAGGGATTCTAAGGGTTCCTTTAAAGGGCTCTATAAGGGTACTATAGGGTTTAGGGTTTAGGGTTCAGAAACTTAGTAAGTAGGTCGCAAGTAGACTTATAAGTACCCTAAGGAGAGACCCTAATTGGGGTTATGGTACTTATAAGTCCCTAAAATAACAAGTTACCAAGTCCCCCGACCCTCCAAGTAAGAAAAAGGGTGGCTACGGCCTCAGCAGGCTTGGGTGGGAATTTAGGGTACAGAGGCTTGTGTCCACAGCAACCCTTAAGCCTTTAGCCAGCATCACCAAGCAGGTTTTGCGGGCATCATAGCTTGCAAATCCTTCTTGTTCAAACTCGTCTGGAATAGTCAGGCTGGGCTCGGGCGACCCTGACGACGAGCAGCTGCTGTAGAAAGTTCTTCAACGACCCAAACAAGCTGAGGAGGAGCTGCAGCATTCCGGTTCCCCATGAATGCTCACCATGTGGTTACACTAAAAATCCGCGAAGCAAAACTTCGCAGACTGCTGGGTAGTTGGATGCCCTCCAAGCTCTGGTTGAATCTATAGCCAAACGTCAAACTCTGCAGGCTGCTGGGTAGTTGGATGCCCTCCAACCTCTGGTTGAACTCGCGGCCAAACGTCAAACTCTGCAGGCTGCTGGGTAGCTGGATGCCCTGCATGCTCTGGTTGAACTTCTCACCAAACGTCAAACTCTGCAGGCTGCTGGGTAGTTGGATGCCCTCCATGCTCTGGTTGAACCAATCGCCAAACGCCAAACTCTGCAGGCTGCTGGGTAGTTGGATGCCCTCCATGCTCTGGTTGAACCAATCGCCAAACGTCAAACTCTGCAGGCTGCTGGGTAGTTGGATGCCCTCCCAGCTCTGGTTGAATCCGCTGCCAATTCTCAAACTCCGCAGGCTGCCGGGTAGCTGGATCCCCTCCATGCTCTGGTTGAACTTCTCACCAAACGTCAAACTCTGCAGGGTGCTGGGTAGTTGGATGCCCTCCAACCTCTGGTTGAACTCGCGGCCAAACGTCAAACTCTGCAGGCTGCTGGGTAGTTGGATGCCCTCCATGCTCTGGTTGAAGTCGTTCCCAAATATCAAACTCTGCAGGCTGCTGGGTAGTTGGCTGCCCTCCAAGCTCTGGTTGAAGTCGAAGCCAAACGTCAAACTCTGCAGGCTGCTGGGTAGCTGGATGCCCTCCCAGCTCTGGTTGAATCTATAGCCAAACGTCAAACTCTGCAGGCTGCTGGGTAGTTGGATGCCCTCCAACCTCTGGTTGAACTCGCGGCCAAACGTCAAACTCTGCAGGCTGCTGGGTAGTTGGATGCCCTGCATGCTCTGGTTGAAGTGGAAGCCAAACGTCAAACTCTGCAGGGTGCTGGGTAGTTGGATGCCTTCCATGCTCTGGTTGAACCAATCGCCAAACGCCAAACTTTGCAGGCTGCTGGGTAGCTGGATGCCCTCCAACCTCTGGTTGAACTCCTTCCCAAATATCAAACTCTGTAGGCTGCTGGGTAGGTGGATGCCCTTCATGCTCTGGTTGAAGTCGTTCCCAAATATCAAACTCTGCAGGCTGCTGGGTAGTTGGATGCCCCGCATGCTCTGGTTGAACTTCTCACCAAACGTCAAACTCTGCAGGCTGCTGGGTAGTTGGATGCCCTCCAACCTCTGGTTGAACTCGCGGCCAAACGTCAAACTCTGCAGGCTGCTGGGTAGATGCCCTGGTTGAGCTTTTGGCTGGAATACCATGTGAGTGACATCGTTTCGTTCAGGGCAGCTACATCAGACTCAGACAGAGTCTTGTCCTGGAGCAGGTGCTGCCAAAGCATCGCGACACGACCCGCGCCAAGCTTCCGCACCACGTACCAGATCTCGTCGCACTGGACTTGATGCAGCAACAGCTGGCGCTGATCGATGACGCAACCACCGGATGTCAGCACAAGTAAACCTGCAGGGTGGCCAACTCCGGCTGCGATGCGTTCCGCTACTTCCCACCCGGTTTCGGCAATGTTGACGTCCAGCTCGAAGCTGGAACCTGCCAGGCAGTGAACGTTCACGGTCCGCCTGGCGCTGTCCGGACCGGCCTCTGCAGGCTGCGGGACGCTCAAACTCTGCTTCATGGTGCCTTCGGGCGCATGCGATTGGCCATGGTGTTGGCGGCGCTTGTTTGAGGCACTAAGATGAGAAGCCCGGTAGTTCCCAAGTTTAGGCCAGGGTTGTTGTTTTGGGGGAGGGGTGTTAAGGTTTGAGGAAGCCTCTAAAACGATCCAAATAGAAATCATCCCACAAATGCTCAGGGCTTAGGGTTGAGGGCTTCCTATATGAGGATGCCTTGAAAGGCGATTCACGAGGGAGTACTGGAATATGCCGAAAAGCCCTATTGCGACTGTGAAAGGCCCTGTAGAGGAACAGTGCCGCGTTGCCCTGCAAGCCGTGTAAGAGGTCTTTTTTGGATAGCCGAGTTCTTATGAAATACATAGTTTGGGGCTTAAGGTGGTGCATGGGCCTTGCTACTGAGGAACAGGCTTTCGGTGAATACTATAGCATATGTGCAGTAAGGAACCGAAGAAGCAATATTGATCAGAATCTTAAAGCACCCCCTTCTACAAGGTTTGAGTTTTGCATCAGGTCCTTAGAGGTTTTGGTTCTTGGGGTCCTAGGGTTTAGCTTCTGAGTGCTGTAGGGGTTAGGTTCTTGCAGTTTTTGGATTCAAGCTCTTTGCGTTTCGTGAGCGTGTCTTAGAACACAGAGTCACCCGCCAAGCCGAACCTTGCGAATCCCAAAACAAGACCCAAACCCTAAACCCTAAACCACCGAAACCCTGAACCCTTAACCCATAAACCCTGCACCCTACACCCTACTTGGAGGATCAGGGGACTTAGAAAGTAAGGTTATAAGTCCCCTAATCCGGGTTATAAGTACTTATAAGTATAGTTACCTTATTTATAACCCTAGTTACTAAGTCCCATGATCCTTTAAGTAGACACCACTTGCTGGAGCCCTGGCGCAACCATAGCCTCGACTATCCGGAAAAAAAACTGCGATCCCGAACCGGCCCCAAGACTGTAAACGCTGCAACCCTAAAGCCTAAAGCCCTAAACCTTTGAAACTGCCCCCACCCTGTAATAGTGGTATAATAGGAATATAATAGGGCCCCAATATAATCCTTATAGTCACTATTACAGGGTGGGGCCAGCTTCTAACCTAAACCCAGAAAAAACACCAAGACCTAAACCCTAAATCCCGAAGACACGTCTCAAACCAAACCCAGACTCTAAACCCTGAACCCTATCCCAACCCTAAACCCTTAACCGGTAAAGCCTGAAACCTACTATAGGAGCCTTAATAATTACCTATACTATTTTGGGGTCCTTGTTATATTCAGAGTACAGAGGGCTCCAAAACTCTATTCTAATTATCAAGGCCCCTATATCACACCCCTCAGACGTGTGGCCCTCCGTCTTAGAACCTGAGAGCCTGAAAGGCGAAAGGGCCCTCCAAAGTAGTGGTTTAAATTATTAGAATAGGGCTGTGTGGCAGACTATACTAAACTATAATGAGAGACCACCATTTAAGGTCCCTACACGAAAATCCTTCGGAACTCGGCAGCTCGCTAAAGAAACCCTCCGAAACCCTATGTAAGCAGAAACTGCTGTCAGAGCTTAGGATGTCGGGTTTGGAGTTTAGGGTTTAGGTGTTAGGAGCTAGACTTTAGTAAATGTAGGTTCACAGATTTGTACATTAACTTCTACTTCTTTCATATATGTAAATCCAAAATCTCGAACCTCAAAAAAAGGACACGAACTCCTCTGAAAGGCCAAGGGCTTACGGTTTGGGGTTTAGGGTTTAGGGCTTGGGGTTTAGAGACCAGGGCTTAGCCTTCATGGAAGCATGCGCCATAAAAGAGGCCTGTGCCCACAGCAACCCTTAAGCCTTCAGCCAGCATCACCCAGCAGGTTTTGCGGGCATCAGGGCTTGCGATTCCCTCTTGTTCAAACTCTTCTGGAATAGTCAGGCTGGGTTCGGGCGACCCTGACGACGAGCAGCTGCTGTAGAACGTTCTTCAAGGACCCAAACAAGCTGAGGAGGAGCTGCAGCATTCCGGTTCCCCATGAATGCTCACCATGTGGCTACACTAAGAATCCGCGAAGAAAAACTTCGCAGACTGCTGGGTAGTTGGATGCCCTCCATGCTCTGGTTGAACTTCTCACCAAACGTCAAACTCTGCAGGCTGCTGGGTAGTTGGATGCCCTCCAACCTCTGGTTGAACTCGCGGCCAAACGTCAAACTCTGCAGGCTGCTGGGTAGTTGGATGCCCTCCATGCTCTGGTTGAAGCCGTTGCCAAACGTCAAACTCTGCAGGTTGCTGGGTAGTTGGATGCCCTCCAACCTCTGGTTGAACTCGCGGCCAAACGTCAAACTCTGCAGGCTGCTGGGTAGTTGGATGCCCTCCATGCTCTGGTTGAAGAAGTAGCCAAACGTCAAAGTCTGCAGGCTGCTGGGTAGTTGGATGCCCTCCAACCTCTGGTTGAAGTCGCGGCCAAACGTCAAACTCTGCAGGCTGCTGGGTAGTTGGATGCCCTCCAAGCTCTGGTTGAACTCGCACCAAACGTCAAACTCTGCAGGCTGCTGGGTAGCTGGATGCCCTGCAAGCTCTGGTTGAATCTATAGCCAAACGTCAAACTCTGCAGGCTGCTGGGTAGTTGGATGTCCTGCATGCTCTGGTTGAAGTGGAAGCCAAACGTCAAACTCTGCAGGCTGCTGGGTAGTTGGATGCCCTGCAAGCTCTGGTTGAACTTCTCACCAAACGTCAAACTCTGCAGGCTGCTGGGTAGTTGGATGCCCTCCAACCTCTGGTTGAAGTCGCGGCCAAACGTCAAACTCTGCAGGCTGCTGGGTAGTTGGATGCCCTCCATGCTCTGGTTGAACTTCTCACCAAACGTCAAACTCTGCAGGCTGCTGGGTAGTTGGATGCCCTCCATGCTCTGGTTGAGCTTCTCACCATGCAGGCTGCTGGATAGTTGGATGACCCCCAACCTCTGGTCGAACTCGCGGCCAAACGTGAAACTCTGCAGGCTGCTGGGTAGTCGGATTCCTTCCAAGCTCTGGTTGAACTCGCGGCCAAACGTCAAACTCTGCAGGCTGCTGGGTAGCTGGATGCCCTGCAAGCTCTGGTTGAATCTATAGCCAAACGTCAAACTCTGCAGGCTGCTGGGTAGTTGGATGTCCTGCATGCTCTGGTTGAAGTGGAAGCCAAACGTCAAACTCTGCAGGCTGCTGGGTAGTTGGATGCCCTGCAAGCTCTGGTTGAACTTCTCACCAAACGTCAAACTCTGCAGGCTGCTGGGTAGTTGGATGCCCTCCAACCTCTGGTTGAAGTCGCGGCCAAACGTCAAACTCTGCAGGCTGCTGGGTAGTTGGATGCCCTCCATGCTCTGGTTGAACTTCTCACCAAACGTCAAACTCTGCAGGCTGCTGGGTAGTTGGACGCCCTCCAAGCTCTGGTTGAAGTCCATGCAGAACGTCAAACCCTGCAGGCTGCTGGGTAGTCGGATTCCTTCCAAGCTCTGGTTGAACTCGCCCCCCAACGTCAAACTCTGCAGGCTGCTGGGTAGTTGGATGCCCTCCAACCTCCGGTTGAACTCGCGGCCAAACGTCAAAGTCTGCAGGCTGCTGGGTAGTTGGATGCCCTGGTTGAGCTCTTGGCGGGAATACCATGTGAGTGACATCGTTTCGTTCAGGGCAGCTTCGTCTGACAAAGTCTTGTCCTCGAGCAGGCGCTGCCAAAGCATCGCGACACGACCCGCGCCTAGCCTCCGCACCACGTACCAGATCTCGTCGCACTGGACTTGATGCAGCAACAGCTGGCGCTGATCGATGACGCAACCACCCGATGTCAGCACAAGTAAACCTGCAGGGTGGCCAACTCCGGCTGCGATGCGTTCCGCTACTTCCCACCCGGTTTCGGCAATGTTGACGTCCAGCTCGAAGCTGGAACCTGCCAGGCAATGAACGTTCACGGTCCGCCTGGCGCTATCCGGACCGGCCTCTGCAGACTGCGGGACGCTCAAACTCTGCTTCATGGTGCCTTCGGGCGCATAGAATCGGCCGTGGCTTTGGCGGCGCTTATTATTTGAGCCACTAAGATGAGAAGCCCGGTAGTTCCCAAGTTTAGGCTAGAATTTAGGGTTCAAAGTTTGAGGAAGCCAAATCCCAATTTCTTGCAGCGAAGCCTTGTCCGCGGTTTCCTACTGTCTTTCATCGCCAGAGCGTTTCCTAGGTTGCCATCAGTTTATGATAAGGGTTGCTACAGCATGTGGGCCCAAAAGGGGTTACAATGAGGGTTGGTATAAGGGAGTTTCCTAAAATGGGGGATCCTAATATAATACCCTAAATAGTAGGACCCTTATTGTAAGGACCCCTAAATAAGGTACCCCTAATTTTCGGAAACTCTCATAAGGGTTCCATTCATCCTTCTGGGAGTTGTGGAGGACCGCATGGGCCCTTGGCCTTCACAGCATGTATAGATTAGAAGGGGCCCCCACCCTGTAATAGTGGTAGAACAGGAATATAATAGGGCCCTAATATAATCCTTACAGTCCCTATTACAGGGTGGGGGCAGCTTCTAATGTATAGACTAAGCCCGAAACCCCAATAGACCCGGGCCCTAAGACGGAAGCCCTGCACTCAAAGCTCCGTACATGAAATCGCGGCCAGTCAGTCAGCCAGTCATACAACCCTAAACCCTAAACCCTAAAACCCTAAAACCCTAAAACCCTAAAACCCCAAAACCCTAAAACCCTAAAACCCTAAACCCTAAAACCCTAAAACCCTAAAACCCTGAAACCCTAAAACCCTAAAACCCTAAAACCCTAAACCCTAAACCCTAAACCCTAAACCCCTAAAACCCTAAAACCCTAAGCCCTAAAACCCTAAAACCCTAAACCCTAACCCCTAAACCCCTAAACCCTAAAACCCCAAACCAGGCCTGACACCATGGCGGATCATCATCCTGGGGCATTTTTCGAATTTTTCGGAAGGCTTGGGGCTTGGGGGTTTTGGGGGTTCAAGGCTTTGCGGCTGAGGGTTCCTTCAAAGGGAACCCTAGGGGTGCTGCAAGGGATCTATGGTGGTTTAGGGTTTTGGGGGTTTGGGGATTGATTATTAGGGGTTTGGGGAGTGTGAAGGCTTAGGATTTTTGGGGGTTTTAGGGATTGAAGGCTTTGGATTTTTGGTGGTTTTGGGGATTGAAGGCTTAGGGTTTTGGGGGGGGTTTTAGGGATTGAAGGTTTAGGGTTTAATTCCAGGGCCTGGCGGGCCTAGATAAGGGATCTATAAGGGTTCCTTTAAAGGGCTCTACAAGGGCTACTATAAGGGATCTATAAGGGTACTATAAGGGTTCCTTTAAAGGGCTCTATAAGGGCTACTATAAGGGATCTATATGGGTACTACAGTATAGGGGCCTTAATAATTCATTATTAAACTAGGGTGCCAAATGTACTATAATCATAATGAGGAACCCCCAAAGAGTATAGTTAATAAGGCCTCTAGACTGCTTCATTACGAATTCAAGAGTGCTGGGGTCGTGCTGGGGTCCTAGAACGGCTGAGTGTAACTCGCAACGTTTTATCCTGAATCGATGGACTGCCCGAACCCCTAGCCCATTGGGGCCAATCCATACTCCATAACCCTAAACCCCAAACCCGAAACCCTAAATCCTAAACCCCAAACCCTTAAACTACAAACCCTAAACCTGGATGGAAAGGTCTGGGGCCTGGGGGCTGTTCACCCAAAGCCCCATACTGCGGGCGGTACATTATACTATAATTCTAATAAAGGTACTGGTAGCCCTAAACCCTAAACCCTAAAATCTAAACTCTAAACTCTACATTGCTAGAGGTCCCTTTGGTAGCCGCGGTCTTGCGTTCAAGGTTCGGGACCGGTCTGTGTAGCAATTGCGGAGACCCAAATTCTGGTTTAGGATTTAGGGTTATAGGGCTACGAATTGGAATGGGGTTTGGGCATAACGTATCGATTTGAGGTAGGATTACATGATAAGAACCTATCTGGCGCAAATATTTCTCAATTATTCCATATCCTGCGTTAATTCCTGGTGGGCTTCCGGGCTCGCTATATGTTACTGTAAACTACAGCTTGTGCGATGTCTTGAAGCCCTGAACCATACACCCTCATAGGTCCGCAAGCCTGCCTACAGCATCTTTCAATCCCGACCGTGAAACAAACGGTGCCACCCAGCATCCAGCAGCGGCATCGTGGGAAAGCTTTTCGGCAAGGAGTCCTAGACAGGGCAAACCCATCCTGGCCTCCATTCTCTACTCCTGAACCGCATCTGCTTGGAACCCTTTGAACCGGATTCAATCGTACATGGCTCCAAGAACTGGTAGCATGATGAGGGAGACCCCTTAAAGGGGTACTTCTGGCTCTCTTAAAGGGGACCTTATTGAGAGGGTCTATATCCCCGAGGGTCCCCCTCATCCTAACTCCCATCATACGGGATTCCTAAGAAGGGACTCAGAGCTCTGGGACACCCTGCCCCAGAACTCTTTTCCACGACTTGCAGCATTGACATTACATGCCTTTATACCGGGTACCTTAGGGCTTACAGATCACGAGGTGGTCTGCCCCAAACGCTCAGCCCCGAAGCCAAACCTAAAACCCCTCGAACACTCTTCTGAACCCGGCGCCACCCCCCGTCTAGAACGGCAGGGGGGCTTAGATTGCCCGTCTTGAGGCCTGAGACTTAGGGCCTAAGAGGGGCCGAGGAGAGGGGACCCAGAATGCACAGCGCCCACCGCCTACTAAAAGTAGAACCTGTTACATGTCCGACATTCTGTGAAACCAAGATGTAGCCCCTCAAAAACCATTTAAACATACAAACCGGCATCCCCTTGTTCCCCCAAACCCCCTAAACCCTAAACCTTACATTCTTAAACCCCTCAACCTTTAACCTTAAATTCTTAAACCCTTACTTAAACCCTAAACCTTAAATTCGTAAACTCCTGAACCCTAAACCTTAAATTCTAAACCCGACGGCCCTTTGGGGTCCAGGTAGACCCCAAAGGGCGACGAGTCACGGATGCGCTCTCGGCAAAGCAGCAATGCGACCAAAGCGTTCTTGCCTGCAATGGCAATCCCGAAAAAAGCTGGAGGGCTGTGGGGCTTGGGGGTTTTATAAGGGTTACTATAAGGGTTCCTCAAGGGATCTATAAGGGTACCAGAAGGGCCCTGTCGGGTTTAGGGTTTCAGGGTTTAGGGTTTAGGGTTTAGGGGTTTAGGGTTTAGGGTTTAGGGTAAAAACCCTAAACCCTAAACCCTAAACCCTAAGTCTAGGATTTAGGGCTTTTCGGGCTTAGGGTGTAAGCCTGAAAGGCTTTGGAGCTTCCGTAGTCATGCTGAGCGTCTTTGGCACAGAGTCCTTTGTGAAAAGCTTTTCCCACGGTTTAGGGTTTCGGGTTTAGGGGTTTAGGGTTTAAGGGTTTAGGGTTTTGGGGTTTGGGATGAAAGGTGTCATAGGATTTGCACTACCAGGCCCTTGAAGTGGTTTAGGTCCTTCATGGAGGCAGGGTTCTGGACGACGGGACTATTTAGGGTTTAGGGTTTAGGGCTGCTACGGCCGAGGATTTCTGTACGAAGGAAATGACCGCAAGCTTTAAGCTTTAGCGGCTCTAAGGGTTTAGGGTTTAGGGTGTAGGGTAGGGTTTAGGGTGCAGGGCTAATACAACGGCCCACCCACAGCTCAATGTGCTATCGTCTCCGGCTTCTGTGGTTGGAAGTTCGACTGCTTTTGGGGCCTTAGGATTTGGGTCGTTCCTGTTCCGTCCCGTGAAAACTGCTACGCATGGTCGGGGAAGATTCGCCAGCCATGTGCGACTATTTTTCTCCCAACCCTAAGAAACCCTAAACCCGGAAACCTCAAACCCTAAACCCTAAACCCCCCGATCCTTCGTGATCCAAGCGACTCATCCAAGAGCCTTGCACAACCCTGCAGTCTGTTCTTGTCGATCCCCGTGACGAAAAAAGTGGTGAATGATAGTAACAATTAAGCCATAAACGAGATTACCAGCACCCTATAAGACCCTATGAACATGTATATTTCCTGAACCCTAACTGAACCCTAACTGAACCCTAAACCGTAATAAAGCATCTAGAACCTAAACGCTGACTAAGCCCCTCTAAACCCTAAACCGTAAACCCTAAACTAAAGAGTGATGCAATCGCAGCCCAGACTCTCGGTGGGCAACGCTGCTTGATCTCTGCAAAGTCTCTAGCGGCCTCTTGCGACAGGGTACAATATAGGATTTAGGGTTTAGGGTTTACGGTCTACTCGTGAAGCCCAAGACCTACAAACTTAACCCCCTAAAGCCGTAAGCCCAGAGAACCCTAAACCCTAAAATGCTAAAACCTAACACTCACATCAAAAAGGCCCCCATATTGCAGTACCCTTATAGATCCCTTATAGTAACCCTTGTAGATCCCTTAACCAAGGCCTCCGTCTGCAGAGCCTCAAGGAATTCCGGCCTCGCTGGAAATTAATGGGAGTACAAATGTTGGTTCAAGTTTTGGGCGTCAGAGAGCTTAGATGCAGAGATGAGGGCTGCTTTTCCTTATTCAAGGCTTGGGTTTGGAGTAATGATTCAGGATCTTGGCTTAAACCCCCCTTCTTGAGGCATAAACCCTACATACACCCTAGCCCGCCGCGCAACAGATGCTAGACCCTCAAACCTCGATCCCTCAGTCAAACTCCTAACCCACACCCTCAGGGGGAGGGAGGGATACTCCATCGATATGCATGTGCATGCGCACACATATGAATCGGAATGTATTTATGTGGACGATGTACTTGTGTGTGTGTGTACAACCTGTGTATATGTATATATATATATATATGTATGTATATGTATGTATACATATATATATATATATATAACATGCATGCATATGTATGTGTATGTATGTAGATATATATATATATATAGTATGCATGCATGTATGTATGTACATACATATGTACGGTCGCACGTATGTCCGTAACACACGCCTGCCTGCCTGCCTGCCTGCCTGCCTGGCTGGCTGGCTGGCTGGCTGGCTGGCTGTCTGTCTCTGTATGTTTGTATGCAAGCATGTACGCACGCCTGGATGTCTCTGTGTATAAGCCATGTACTTGCCTGTGTGTGCATGTGAGAGTATGAGTGTGTATGTGTATGTATGTGCATGTATGAGTATGTATGAGTATGTATGTGTGTATGTGTGCCTGTGTATGTATATGCACATGTGTGTGGGTATGTAGACACGTCTGTACATGTAAGTAGTACATGTAAGTAGTTGTATGTACATGCATACATGTACCGCTTTGTTTAAGTGTGTATATATATATATATATATGTATATATATATAGACATATTTGTACATATACGTATATACACACATATCTACATATATATATATATAAGAACACTTACATACATGCATGCATACATACACACGTATTACATACCTACATATACATTCACTTCCACAGGCACATACAATTGTGAATGCACACACACACACATACATGCATACTCATACGTACCGTGCATACCCATGCAAGTACATACGTTGACATACACGTGCGTCTACATACATACAAGCATACACAGGTATAGACATACATGCACACACATACATGTATGCATACATGCATGCAAACATACACATACAGATCCATTTACTTACCAATTCATGTAATCTGTTATCTCTTGTTTTGATTACTTTTGTACATAGATTTAGTATCTGCCGATGTACCCGTTCATTTATCGCACATCGCGTCGTACATGTGTGCATGTACGACAATGGTCACATGTGCAAATCTGTATATCTGCATAACTGCAGGTACAACATGTATGTACGCATGTATGTTACATACACATACATATTTGAGATGTACGCGGGCACGTGTATATAGAGCTATACCACGATAGATGGATGGACTTGTGCACCTCACGCCCAAAGCATACGCACAAAGATGCACGCATGTGCGAAATCATGCTAACACAGCGCAACTTTGGGTGCTGCCCCCATACAGTAACAGTCTGTAATGGGGCTACTATCAAGGGCCTAATATATCTATATTATGAATATTATCCAACTGTTACTAAGAGGGGGCAGTACCCAAGCGCAACCTCCTTTCTGACTCTGATGAACGGCCAAAAGAGGGGTTTAAGATTCTTGGGGTAGGGATTAATATGAGCCCTAGTAAAAGAACCCTAACCCCTACTAAACCCCCATGGGCTAAAACCCCTTTTTGCCTCCTTAGTAAGTAAGGTTATAAGTACCTTATTTGGGGTTATAAGTATAGTTACCTTAATTATAACCCTAGTTATTAAGTCCCATGACCCTTTCTCACTCATCCTACATTATAGAACCCTTATAGATCCCTTATAGTACCCTTATAGTAATCCTTAAAGGAACCCTTTAAAGGGAACCCTGACTCAGGCCGGGGAACTCGACCCCGAGAGGACCGGAGGCGCTGCCCTGCGGCAGGGCGAAGGCCAAGGCCCGTGGCAGCCGCAGCAGCTGAGTGCCTCCAGTCTGCGGCCGAGAGCCCAAGACCCCTTAAAAGGAACTCCAGAAAGTTGGAATATGGTTTCAGGGTAGGATACCCTATAAGTTACCATAAAGGGCTTAGGATAATCATATTCCAACTTTCTGGCTTTTACTATAAAAGGAATATGCCCTAAAATTATGGGGGCCTTAATATTAGGATGGAAGGTATTTTCCTGAATTAAAGGGTATTGGGCTCTTTGGGGGGTTGAGTGCAATGTCACTCCTTTCCGGGCTTAGGCTTTATGGGCTTGTGGCTCATGGCTTCAGAGGGGTATAGGGTTCAGCATTTTGCAAGGCAAGGCTGCAGAGTTCGATGACGTTCAGGATTTGGGGCGTAGAATGTCAAAACACAGTGGCAGAAACAGGGCTCATACTTCATTATCACGAGCGACTCTGACACAAAAATATCACAAAAACATGAAAGGGGGTTGCTTAGGAAACGTTCGTGTGCTGGCGACCACTACGAGGACGACGACGACGATGCATAATAGCAACGTTGCATGTGCCCGAATTCCAGTAGTCAGTCTTACGGACTGCCAAAGTGCCTCAGAACCTAACCACAGAAACTAAAGTCCTGGAACCTAAAGCCCTACACCCCTAAACCACCAAAACAACCTGAAAAACGAGGCCATGTAGGTACTGTGCGAGAGGAGGATCCTGAAGCTTCGAGGAACGCTCTAAAAGCTAGCTTTCACACCTAAACGCTAGATCCCACGACCTAACACTTCATCAACCCATACCCCACAGAAACCGCAAAACTGCTTAGGACTGTACAGCACCCAATGCAAGCAATCTGTAAAAACGAACACTTCACTTCGCTCTCTGAAGTCTGGTCGCGATGGATCAGCGAAAAAAGTAGTAGAGAGGCGTATAGACCGGAGTGCGGTAGTACTCATAACCCGACTTAGAAGACACAAGTCCATGATGTATCAAGTAGCTCCGTGGCATACTACCACGGTAAGGGGGACTTGAAGGAAACTCAAGAGGCGCTAAAAAATAAAACCTTAACCCAAGTTGACAGTGTACGATTCTGCGTGTCTGAGGGTCGGCACTGCTGCCGAATATGTCCCAACCAACACCCCCGTATGGGTCGCTTCCACATAGTACGGGCAGCACCTAGTTTCAAAGTCCTGTGGGAGGCCATCTACCACGGTTTAGGGTTTAGGATACGGCACTTCAAAGCCCCAATCCCTACCACGCCCTGAGAACTTTCAAAACGATAGGCTAAAACCCTTGAAACCCACACCCCATAATGCCATAATCCTGACCTCAACCACACAAGCCCCAAAACTAAAAAAATCAAACCTGAAGCTCAAAACCTTAACAGCCCTGCAAATCCTGCATCCCAGAACCCCGAAAGCTCGAAATCCTAAACTCCAGCACCTCCAAAAGCCTTCAAAGCCAAAACCCCGAAAGCCCTCAAACCCTGAACCCCTAAGCCCCGAAGGCGGCAAAACAAGTCCTAAAGCCCTTCAACAAGATGCACAGCGCTAAAGCAAACCACACCACTCTACTTAAAGGATCATGGGACTTAGTAACTAGGGTTATAAACAAGGTAACTATACTTATAAGTACTTATAACCCCGATTAGGGGACTTATAACCTTACTTACTAAGTCCCCTGATCCTCCAAGTAGAATACATCCGAAAACCCCTCAAAGCCCTAAAACGCCCCAAAGCCCCACTAGGCCCCCAAACCTCCACCTTAACCCTGAACCTGAAAGCCTGAATGCCCTAAAACCAAAAAAGCTTTATCTCCCAGGAATGCCTTCGGCCACGTCCCCCTTTGCACGCACCGTACGGTCCCCATCCCCCAATGGGGAGGGAACCAGAAACTCCTTAGCTTCAGGAGGGTTTAGGGTTAGGGGTTTGGGGGTTTGGGGGTTTAGGGGTTTCGGGTTTAGGGTTTAGGATTTAGGGGTTTAGGGGTTTAGGGTTCCTACAAGATGTTGGATGGCTGGCTCTCTAAGGGTTTCGATAAGGGTTAGTAGAGGCTCCCCACTCAATGGCCATTCCACCCCGCTCCGTTTCTTGTTCAACTTGGTATTGGGGTTTAGGGTATAGCGTGTTTAGTGTAAGTAGCTTCGTTTAGGTTGCCCTCCTTATAAACCACACGTACAACGCACGGACCTACTCCCTTGATCGCTCAAATTCAGTCAAGGGCGGCCAGTGGCTTGCTCACTTGGGCTTAGAGTCAAGCTTGAGGGCTTAAGGTTGAGGGTCTAAAACTAGGGTTTATCTAGGGTTTTACTGCGGTCATAAGCATTTTCGACAGCAAGCATGACCTGATATGAGTACGAATACTGCCCTTACCGACGATGAACATCCAGGGGCTTCATGGCGCTCATGACGATGATTGCTATGACGACGAAGACTATGGCGGTGATGACGGTAACCGTGTCGATTGGTTTCGAAATCGTAAAGCCAAAGCCAAGAATCCAAAGCCCTCAACCCTAAACCCCTGTTCCCTAAACCCTAAACCCCTAAACCCTAAACCCCTAAACCCTAAACCCTAAACCCTAAACCCTAAAGCCTAAACCCTTAAACTCTTACTTCCCTAACCCTGAGCTCGTAAGCCCCGAGCTCCCTAGTCGGAGGACCCCGAGCTCCCTTTAGGGTTTAGGGTTTACAGGGAACTCCAGAAAGTTGGAATATGGTTTCAGGGTAGGATACCTTATAATTTACCATAAAGGGCTTAGGATAATCATATTCCAACTTTCTGGCTTTTACTTTAATGTTTAGGATCGCAAACAGAAACTCGAAGTTGACAAACGCAACTGCTGAGAGTCTGCTGACTCGCAGACGAAGGCGCCTCGGTCTGCTGCCAGAGTGAAAGTTTTAGGGATTTGGGCTTGAGGGTTGTAGAGTTTATACAAGGTTTCGGAGGTTTGGGGCTTAGGGAAGATCTACTGTTCCGCCGAGACTTCACTACGGATCCCTTATTACTTGAAAATACCTGCTATCATTTAAAGTGTGCATTGGATGAAGGATTTTGGAGACTCGCGGGAAGGTTGCGGGTCTATGGCGTAAGCATTTTGTGGTTGTAGGTGTTTACTGCGCAGGGATTCAACCCCTTGCTTCGGTTTAGAGTTCAGCCTTCAGGCATGGGGTGTAAGATGAAGGGTCTAACATTATACAGAAACCTACATAACTTCAACAGTGCCTTGGAGTACTCGGAGGTTAGGTCTAGTATAATACGAATGAAGAACCTTAAAGCATGCCCTTACGTATTCATAAAGGCCGCATAGTACGGTTGAGGGCTGTATGGTTCGAGGCTTATAGGTTTGGAAAGCGACTTGGCTGTTTTGCCTAGGCTGAACGCTTTGCTTTTGCTCAGACGGTTGCGACCCCGAACCCCTAACCCTATGTAAATCTTTCAGCGCAAAGCCTTAAACCCTTTAGAGATCCCCGCCTGATGTACTTGGAGCTCTGTGCTTTCGTGTTGCAATTTCGGAGTAAAAACCAAGGCAGGTCCCAGTGCTTAGCACAGGGTTTTTCCTGAGGCCAAGCAAGCAAACACAACCTTTAAACCCTAAACTTAGGATGTCCTTAAGGGGGGGTGGTCCAAGGGGGGTAGGCAACCTAGTAATCCCCATTATTCCCCAATACTCCCTAAGCTTCCCTAAGGTTCCCCAAAGCTCCCTAGTACCCTCCCCCCTTGAACCACCCCCCCTTAAGGATCCTATAATAAACCCTTTAGCCACCCGTGAAACCCCTCAACCCTAGACTCCCGTCACAGAAACCGCATGGAAACCTTTTATATATCGTTTCTCGCGCTAATACAGCACAGCACAACTTTTAAGAAGGCACATCACACCCGAAGCCCAAAAAGCCGAATACAGAAGCAATAGACATTGGAATAAGGTACTGGGTTATATTGTACTGAAACTATATCATAAGGATCATAAAGACTATAAAGGGAACACTACTACAAGCTACTGCTGCTTATTCAGCCAAGTATGCTAATCCCTCTTAAACCCATGAAAACCTGATGGGAGTTTCCGGAAATAAGGGGACCCTAATATAGTACCCTAAATGGTAGGATCCTTATTATAGGGACCCGCAAATAAGGTACCCCTTGTTTTCGGAAACTCCCTTATGAGACTCAGGGACCCTTCGAACCCGGAGCTGCCAGCCGAAGCACCGTGTGTGCGAGCCCAGGACACGAGCCTTTTCGAAGGGCTTCTTGAAAAGGGGCCTATGGGGTCTACTAGGATCTACAAGGGTACTATAAACTAGGGGCCATAACAGTCAGAATAGAGAAAAGGAGAGTTGCTGGTAGTGACTTATCCGCCCTCCCAGCTCAGAAACAGCGGAGATCGTCAGGGCCAAGGTTCAAGTGAGAATGCAGCTTACCCAGAAGATCCCCCACATGTGTTTAAGGAAGATTGGGAAGGGCCCAGAGCTAGGGTTTTCTTGTTGAGAGCACCTGTCCACATGAAAGCCGTGAAAAATGCAGGCGATTCACCCAGAACCGCAATCGTTTTTTTTATTTTCCGTCCCTAACCCCGACCCCTCATAAGATTTAACGTGAAACCAGAAACCCAAAAAGATACTACTACTACAACTACCACTACTACTACTACTGCTACTACTACTACTACTACTACTGCTACTACTACTGCTGCTACCACTGCTACTACTACTGCTACTACTACTACTACTTCTACTACTACTACTACTGCTACTGCTACTGCTACTGCTACCGCTACTGCTACTACATGGCTGAAGATACGAACAGTCTTAATGACTAAACGTTTTGGATCCCGTAAGGGGTCCGGGGACATGAGATGCACCCTAAACCCTTGACCTTACAGCCCAAACCCCAAACTTTAAGCCCCAAACCCTAACAGTATGGTACACCCTGGCATCTAGATCAAATACCACCCCCAAACCCAAAACCCCAAACCCTAAGCCCTAAACCCTGAACTCTAAAACCTCAAACCCCCAAACCCAAAACTGGAGCGAGCTGCGGGTGCTACGATTAGCGGCAGCGAGCGTGCCGGGTTAGCGAAGCTGGCTCCGGAGCTGACGCGACAGGCGCGGCGAACGAGCCCCGACCCGAACGCCGCGCCCTTTAGGATTTAGTTAGGATCTAGGATAGGATTTAGGGTTTGGGTTAAGGTTTTAGGATTTATGATCTAAGCTTTCTCCAGATTTTGGGTTGGCGCAAAAATCGCTCGAAGCGTTCGACGAAAACGATTGCAGATTGGGCCGAAAGTCGATGTCACGGTACCCTCCAGGGGCTTATGATTTAGGATGTACATTGTAGGATTTGGGGACTGAGGTGTTGGGATTTGGGATGTAGGTTTAGGATTTAGGAACCAGGGTTTAGGATTTAGGAACAAGGGTTTAGGATTTAGGATTTCGGGGTTCAGGATTTAGGAACCTGGGTTTAAGATTTACAGTTTAAAATTTAGGTTTCAGGGTTTAGGACATAGCGTTTAGGATTCAAGCACCACGGTTTAAGATGCGGGATCCACTGCAAGGCCGATATCTAGGGTTAAAGAAGTTGGATAACTTGGATGTGGGATCCAGAGTTTTGGATTTATGTTTTAGGATGTTGTGTTTAGGGTGTAGAAACATTCTTTCTAAATCTTTCAGCTTGTCGGGGGCTACAAAGGCCCGAATAGAAACTGTCCTTTGTTCTTTCCCGCACCGCTCCGCTCCCCAATGCTGCTGTCAGCCGTCTAGAGCACGATACAGGAGCCTGATTCCAAAAAGTTTGAAGGCCCTGAGCACTCCCCACGCTGGCCAAAAACCCACCTTAAACCCTAAACCCTAAACTCCCAAACCCTAAACCCTAAACCCTAAACTCCCAAACCCCAAAACCCCCAAAACCCACGCCTCTCGCCCGGAGCCCCGATCTCTTCCGTGTCCATGGGCTCTCCGGCTTGGAACTACACTTGGAGGATCAGGGGACTTAGTAAGTGAGGCTATAAGTCCCCTAATTGGGGTTATAGTTATAGGTACTTATAAATATAGCTACCTTATTTATAACCCTAGTTACTAAGTCCCATGATCCTTTAAGCAGAGTCCCGCTGTTACGGTTTAGGGCTTTAGGCCTCTAGAGTTTAAGGGTTAAAGTGATTGGGGTTTGGGGTTTTAGAGTTTAGGATTTGAGGCTTAGGGCTTAGGGTTTTGGAGTTTAGGGTTTAGGGTTAAAGAGTTTTGTTGCTGAGGCTGAGACTACTGAAAGGGCTCCATTTCAAGAGGTTTTTAGAAGGATGCTACGATGGTTACTTGGTGTTGCTTCGGGCTTGGGAAGTTTAAGCTTAGGGTTTGAGGGCTTAGGGTTTGGGGTTTAGGAATGTTAAGGTAGAGTTTAGGGTTTTGGTGCGAGTTTGGGGTTAATTGTTCAGGATTAGGGTGTAGGGCTTGGGGTTTGCACGAGGCTTGTGGGCCTGGGGCCTAGTGTAAGGTTTGGGTTAGGGGGGATTAGGATGTTGAACTTTTGTACGGCTCGGGGTTGAGGGTAGCTTCGAGTCTCCAGGGTTTGGGTCTACGGGTTAAGGTTTACGGTTTAGGTTTCACTACTTAAAGGATCATGGGACTTAGTAACTAGGGTTATACATAAGGTAACTATACTTATAAGTACGTATAACCCCAATTAGGGGACTTACAACCATACTTACTAAGTCCCCTGATTCTCCAAGTATGGAGCACCCTGGCTCAAGGCAATGAGCTCGGGGCTTTGGTGAATCAAAAATCGATATGGTAGAAGCCCAAAAGTTGGAAACCCAATAGCCTCAATCCTTAAGATTTATGTATAGGGAATCCCAGCACTATTTGGCCTTAACTCGGTTTCCAACTTTATGGGGTTTACTGTAGTGTAGTGTTTGCTGGGGCGAGATGTTGGGAGGTCAAAAGGGGGGTTAAAGATTCTTGGGGTAGGGATTCCTTGATATGAACCTTATTATGGGAACCCTCATCCCTACTAAACCCCCATAGGCTAAAACCCCTTTTGGCCTCCTATGACGAGACGGCGGGGTTAAAGGCTTTGTCAAGCTCCTGGGCTTTTCGTGAGTGTACAGCTCTGCGACTGGCTCTTGGGTGCACCTGGCCGCGGCTGAATTCTTCGACGTGCCTCGACAAGTAACATGTAGGTTGTAACACCCGGCAATGCAACACATACCCATTCCCGCCCAAACGCTGGACGACTTTGGGTACGATAGTCTGGGCCTGTACCTAAGGCCAACCACACCAACGCAAAAGGATGAGGACACAACTAGCCCATCACTATGGCTACGACTACTACTTCTTCAGCTTCTTCTTCTTCTGCGACTAGTACTCGTATTCAGAGAGGTCATGGTGGTGGTGCTGGTGGTGGTGCTGGTGGTGGTGCTGGTGGTGGTGGTGGTGGTGGTGGTGGTGGTGGTGGTGGTGGTGGTGGTGGTGGTGGTGGTACTGCAGCTGGTGGTGGTGGTGGTGGTGGTGGTGGTGCTGGTGGTGGTGGTTGTGGTGGTGGTGGTGGTGGTGGTGGTGGTGGTGGTGGCTGCTGGTGGTGGTGGTGGTGGTACTGGTGCTGGTGGTGGTGGTGGTGGTGGTGGTGGTGGTGGTGGTGGTGGTGGTGGTGGTGGTGGTGGTGGTGGTGGTGGTGGTGGTGGTGGTGGTGGTGGTGGTGGTGGTGGTGGTGGTGGTGGTGGTGGTGGTGGTGGTGGTGGTGGTGGTGGTGGTGGTGGTGGTGGTGGTGGTGGTGGTGGTGGTGGTGGTGGTGGTGGTGGTGGTGGTGGTGGTGGTGGTGGTGGTGGTGGTGGTGGTGGTGGTGGTGGTGGTGGTGGTGGTGGTGGTGGTGGTGGTGGTGGTGGTGGTGCTGGTGGTGGTGGTGGTGGTGGTGGTGCTGGTGGTGGTGGTGGTGGTGGTGATGGTGGTGGTGGTGGTGGTGGTGGGGGCGGCGGCGGCGGCGGCGGTGGCGGTGGCGGTGGCGGTGGCGGTGGCGGTGGCGGTGGCGGTGGCGGTGGCGGCGGTGGCGGTGGCGGCGGTGGCGGTTTCGTTTTTCGTTTCACTCGCAGCTAGGGAGTCCAAGCCGTGCGTACAGATTTTTGTCAGGACGACCGTTGTAGCCGCCCCGGCCGTCATTTGACAGCACATACTCAGTGGTATGCACGGGAACCAGACAAAGCTATCACCGCCCCGTAGAGCCTTTAAGCATGATAGCTTGAGAATGTACAAAAGAAAGCGCAGGTAGTGCCACGGTGCAGTGCAGAAAAGAGGAAGCACCCGTCGGCAGATTGCAGGGCAGTGCGGAGGAGGAGAATAAGTGACGTGTGTCCAACACACTCGTGTGGACAGACTGTCACCGCATACCCCCCATCAGCACTGCTCCGCCTGAAGTCACCCGGGGATGAGGCAGTGAAAGCCGGCCCACTCAAGATACGCAGCTGAAAGTCGGGGCGATGCCACGGCCTCCGCCTCCTCCTCATCCTCATCCTCGAAAGCTGGATGAGCCACCCCCAGAATAGAGTGGAGCTCGAGTTCCCAGATGTCCTGAGGTACAGGTGCCGGCCTTTGCGGTAGCATTGGGGCTAGAGGGTTACTGATTTTTTTTTTTTGTGTCTCCCTCTTAGCCAAAGAAAAGATGCCAAGGGCCCAGTGCCAAGTGCCGGTCAATCACAGCAACTCCACAAGCCTCCCGCCTCCCGCAATGATCCCAATCACGGAGAGAGGCGCCCAAGCATCAGCCAGCGAGCAGCGTTGTCCCAGCAGAATCCAGCAGTATCCAGTAAAAGCCAAAGATGATCCCTGCAGCAATAGATACCACAAGTTGCAAGTCAAGTGGCAGCCAGGCGACGCGGTCAACGGATCGACACTGGCAGAGCTCAGAGCCGTGACAGTACGGTGATGAGCAGGACTGGCAGGAGCAGGACTGGCAACTTATGGCGCACAGAGGAGGCGCCAGGACAGTGTGGGTGAGGAATTCCTAAGGGAGTGGGCGCTACAGAGTATCAGAACGTGCGTAACTATTCCATTTAGGGGATGACATCGGGATCATTTTTAAGGCAGAGAGGGTGGTACCATAAGGCGCGCGCGTCGGTGCCAGCAATGCAGCGGACCAGATGACATGAAAGTGCGGAACAGTGGACTGAGAGTGAGGCTGGCAGGAATGCGCGGCATTACGGGTTCCCTAATTAGGGGGACATGACATTCGCACTCCATACTAGGGATGCGGGACTGCGGGAGCCCGCGAGGCAGGCAGGCAGCATCCATGATGATCACGCAAGCAGAATGGCCTACCTGAGTGAGCATCGGGCTCATGCATGTATGGTCAGGATGTACGAGCAGCGCATACCTCACCTTTTACCCTCGCAACGCCGCTGGATGTCGTCTGGCATCGGCAGCCACCTCCCCTAGTACACTGAATTTGCAGTGTTACTGGAGCCCTGATGCACTCTTAAACCCCAGTCCTCGGTGAACGCTCCCGACACACAGAGACTAGGAATCGAAGGTGTGCTACGTTACGCTATGCTACACAAGGCGACACCGATTATGCAGTAGGCCTAGCAAAGTGATGACTGCATGGATGCGCTGTGGGGGGCGCGTCCCGAGAGGCTCATGAAACGTCCTGCGTGATCCACTATAGGATCGTGCAGCTGGCGATGCAGTGGTGGATATTAGGGCAGACAATGCTTGAAAGCATATTGGCAGTGACAAAAGCGAGCCAGCATGAACAATCGGCAATAGATCAGGACTAGGCTTAGACCGTCAAGACTGATGCATGACGCTAGTACAACCCTACTGCAGCTGCGCGCTCCGTGCCGTGATCATCCAAACCCTGCCAGTCTGCACTCACACCGAGCGATGCAAGCCAGGATAGGCGTCCCCCACCTGGGAGTCAAGGAACAGCCAGCACATCGTGGGAAGCTGATGCGTTGGTGGCGGATTTGAGCGATCTTAAGGCAGAGAGGGTGGTACCATAAGGCGCGCGCGTCGGTGCCAGCAATGCAGCGGAAAAGATGACAGGAAAGTGCAGAACTAGGGTTTATTTTTTTTTTTGTCTTTGTTTGTTTGTGTCGTCGGGAGTACAGCGCATCGCAGTGCGACGCAGCCTTGGGGTGGATGCAGAATCGAGGCGCGTACCAGCGGCAGCTGCCCCGATCGGGCGCTCCAGCGCCCAGGATGACCTCAGGCGACCACATTGGGCGGTGGCTGACACCCAGACGCCAGCCTCACTTCATCATTGAGCGCTGCAGGCTCCAAGACAGCCCAGAAGAGATAAGCCTGGTTAGAGCTGAACTCGAACCCACTACCGGAGCAGGCGTGAGGGACAGGCATGGCCCCATCATCGCAAAACCAAGCCTGCGCATCAGCCATGAGCAAGCAGGTGTAATGTCCGGAAGTGAGAGCAGCGCCGGCATGATATATCACTGCACAGATGCGATAGCGAAGCGGTTTGGTGCTAAGGGCATGGTCAGAGAAGGCAGGCACACTAATAAAGTGGGACCAGGCGATGACACAGTGATTCTTGACAGTGGCCCCAGTCGGGGTTTGCCTGTACCGCGCAATGCGAAGGATCAGCACCTGTGGCGGGTAGCGCAGGGCATACACACTGTGTTGGGTGCTCCATGCGCCTACAAGGGCCTGTAAGTCCACACGTGCCCGAGAAGGAGGGTCAAGGCCTATGGTGCACTCACACGGACCTGTGTCAACCACCCCAAAAACCCCAGCCTCAAGTAGCCTAGCCTCCCAAATCCCGAAGAGCAGAGTGGAGCGAAAGCGCTCGGCCAGATGAGCTAAGAGCTCTGCGCAATCATGTTGAGCAGAAGGGTTCAGCCAGCTCACCAGGAGCGACCTCCAACCGCGAAGATCAAAGGGGCAGGTGGGCACATTGCGCAGGGAGAGAGAGCGCACAGCCGCAACACCTAACCTCGAGGTGGCCTGTTCC